CCCCAAAACCCCAAAACCCCAAAACCCCAAAACCCCAAAACCCCTAATACTATCCACATAATGACAGTAATTTAATATTATTATCCTAAGAAAAGTACGAAACTGTACTATAGTCCTAAACATGCACATTTAGCTGAAAGGAGAATCCTCCAGGACATTATCAAGCCATTTTTCAGGTTGGTATTCCAATTTTTGTGCTTTATCATCTTTTATTGGAAGAGATTTTCTATTTCCATAAGCAACATTATTTCTTTCCATTTTTGGAAGTTCTTTTGCTACTTCAAAATCCCTCAAATTTATACTATCTCTTTTATAAACTTCTGAAGGATCAGATTCCCTAGCAGGAATACCAGATTTTTGGAATTTGGCTAATCCAGGGACACTAGAATTTTCCTGACGATCTTCAGCAAATTTCTGCTTTCTAAGCTGGAATACATTCTGCTTGTCTTCTTCAAGATTCTGTTTGACTGCTATACCATTCGTATTAAGAGGAACTAAACCATAAATTTCAATTCATAGCCCAAGAACGGAAATTAAAAATTCAACTAAAGTTTCTTATATTCGAAAGAGTAGCTAAAACATTAAAATTGTGCTTCTTTTAGAAAAGAGAGGTCAACTCCATATACTAGCATAAGGAGAGTCTACTTACTGAAAATAGTTCCAAAATCTGAATATGGCAAAGTTGAAGGAAATCCTTGGTCAGCATTCATCAATGGATCATTTGTCGAAAATTTCCAATCAGATCCATTATCCGATTCATGACCATCTTCAAATATGTTAGCGTATGTGTTAATATTGTCATTCTTCCACTTCATCTTGTTCTTTGGTGGAGGTACTGTCTTTTCTTTAATCAAGGATGAGAACTTGCAATTGTTTTCAGATTTGATCTCATTTTCAGACTTGACTGAACCACTTTTGTCTTCTTTATCATTGTCAGAATTATTCTGCAAAGCGAATGGGTTATCATTATTCAATTGCGAATGTCTCTTTGGTTTTTGATCTAATACATCCGAAAACCTCATGCTTTCTACCGAAAATTTCCTCGGACATTGCTTGTAAGTATTGTCCTTCATGCTAGTTTCTGCTCTCAAATATGTATAAGAAGGAAGAGCAGTGTCAGCAGCTGAGCCTTCATTGGCTAAAGCCTTAGGAGTGGCTCTCTTGCACTCAACCCATTTTCCTTTGATCTTATGTTTCATCTTATCTCTCAGAACGAAATCAACAGACTGCTCAGTCTTGTATGTTACAAATCCAAACCCTCTTGGCTTGCCAGTCTCTCTATCATGAATGATGACACTATCTTCAATCTCTCCATATTGGGCAAAGTATTGAGTAAACTCAGTTTCAGTAACAGACAATGTGACTCCATCTTCGGTTACACCATGTGGGAGGCCACCAACAAATATTTTACGACTTTTCGGGCCAGCTTTAGTCTCCTCAGATTCCGCAGCAAATAACGATGTGCTAGTATTACCTTGTAAACTATGTCTTTGAGGAATCTTAGATTGGTAAGCAATCTGCGAATCGAAGGCTGGTATACTTTCAGGGTTGCTCTTCTCTTCATTTGCCTCAGAAATCTCATTTCATTTATGTGACATGGATGAAAATCTATTCTGATGATTTGGAAAATAGCTATTTGAACCTCGTTGAAGACTACTAGCCAAAGTTAGCTGGGATCCGCCACTTGTTCCCATTGAACCTCGAGTCATGACAGGCTCGTTAGGAAGAGGCATGGCGATCGAGAAGGGATTGTCGGTCTTTGTTGAAGTCAAAATTCGTCCAGACATCCTATTCATTTGTCCAGATTTTATTTGTAGAGCTCCATCTTTTTCCTTATTTTTCAAATTCGAAGAAAGTGGTTGGGAAGATCTCTGTGGTTTCTGAGGAATTCCTTTTTCTTTTGGAACAGCTTTCTTACAGTCAATTCTCTTTCCATCTAAGTAGTGATTAGGAGCATCCAAAATTTTTGAAACGTCGTCTGAATTCTTGAAGACTACAAAGCCAAAACCTCTACTTCTGCCTGACTCTTTTTCTCTCATGAGTACTCAATCCTTCAAGGCTCCATATTTCTCAAAGTATTCTTGAAAAGAGGATTGTGTAGTTGTAGTTGATAGTCCGCCGATAAATATTTTATTTGAGTTCTGCATATTTGGGTTTTTCATCTTAAATTACTTAAAATATACAAAATAATTCAATCAAATTTGCTATTGAAGGGGTTTTGGGGTTTTGGGGTTTTGGGGTTTTGGGG